GCCCGCGTACCGCAAAAAAAAAAAAAACAAACAAAAACAGACCAAGGGGGAATTCCCTGGTGGTGCAGTGGTTAAGAATCCGCCTGCCAATGCAGGGGACACGGGTTCGAGCCCTGCTCTGGGAAGATCCCACATGCTGTGGAACAACTAAGCCCGTGTGCCACAACTACTGAGCCTGTGCTCTAGAGCCCATGAGCCACAACTACTGAGCCTGCATGCCACAACTACTGAAGCCCACGTGCCTAGAGCCCGTGTTCTGCAACAAGAGAAGATACTGCAATGAGAAGCCTGTGCACTGCAATGAAGAGTAGCCCCCGCTTGACGCAACTAGAGAAAGCCAGCGTGCTGCTACGAAGACCCAATGCAGCCAAAAATAAATAAATAAATAAGTAAAGACAGACCAAGAAAAATCTAATAACTTTGTTTACCTAAGCACTAGTTTCTTCTGCATTTCTGTTTCAAGGTCTATTCAGTTTTGAGAACTAAAAGATTGACTTTCAAATGCTCTAAGTAAAAGCTTAGAAAAATGTTAAAAATGCCTCTGTTTGACAATGAAAAACAGCATACATTTGAAAATACAAAAGCATATTCAAATATTTAGAGAAACTAAAGCATGACAAACTATAAATCTGAATATTTCTTACTTACTATTCTCTAAAACAGACACTTTGGCCATATAGTAAAATAACGCAACAGTTCTCATTAGAAAAATCAAACAAATAGTTATGAGAGGTGACGTCCTAACTTAAAACTACTGGATGGACATCAAAGGAAATGGACAGTTTATAATGTGTAAATTTGAAAATAATGAATATTTTAGGTAACTTCCCCCCTTCCCAAATAAAATTTAAAATTAGGCTGTTCACTCTTTCAAAAAACATTACCTATCTATTTTCCAACCACTGGACTTGAGGGAAGGGATATAATCTAGGAGTAGGAAAGACATATAAATAAATAATTTCAATAAATGAGATAAGTGCTCTAACAGCAATGTGTATGACAATAATATGGAAGCACAGAGGAAACAGAAATAAGAATGATTCATTTTGCCTGGAAAAGCTTGAGTAATTGTGACCACAGAACAGAGAATGAATTGCTAATGGGCAGGTTAAAAGCAACACAAGAAAGATCAATTTTTATGAGAACATCTTAATACTCTAGACAAGAAGCAGTAAGAACTAGTGTTGGGGCTGCAGCAGAGTGAGAACGAACAGGTTTAAGAGGTACATAGAACTTTTCAAGGCAATTTTGACTGTTAGATATAGCAGCTAAGAATGAGGAGAATATCTGATATGATTCTCCAATTCTGATTTCTATGATTAAGAGGGTGACACTACTCAGTATGGTAACGGCAATACGAAGTCATTTGAGAAGAAGAAAGATTTTAGTTTTAGACACAAAAGGAATGAGGTACTTGTGAGAAAAATATATTTTGTCGCTTGTAATATGGTGATAATTCAAGCAAAGGGCATGAATAAACTGTAAGGGATTATCATAAAATCAGAAAACAGGAAGACCTAAGATGGAACCCTAATAGAGAGTCTGAAAAGGTGGACAAAGGAGAGAAACCCAAGGTGGAAACTGAAAAGAAACATAAATTAAGATGATGACCTGCAAGTGGTTTAAGATACATCAAGACAAAGGTATGTTTCAAGAGAGTGTGGTCTACTATTTCAGTGAAACACAATAGTCAAGTTGGTTAAAAAGTACAATATATCTAATGAATAAGGCCTTAACATGAGCCATTTCAGTAGAATGAAGCAGGCAGACTCAGTACTCATACTACTGCAGGAAGTGGTACAAATGTGAGGTAGATAAGAGGAGATAGGAGGTACAGACTACTCCATGCTAGAAGCCTTTCATTAATAACTGGAGTGTACTTCATTTTTAAAAATTTAACTTCCCACTTACTGAACAGGAACTTAATAGAAAAAAATCTTAAAGTCATTTTCTACTGTTTTCACAAAGTTACCTGAGTAGTTTTTAATCACTAATTAGCAATATGTTTACTTAATTTTTTTTTTTTTTTTTTTTTTTTTGTGGTACGCAGGCCTCTCATTGTTGTGGCCTCTCCCATTGCGGAGCACAGGCTCCGGACGTGCAGGCTCAGTGGTCACGGCTCACGGGCCCAGCCGTTCTACGGCACATGGGATCTTCCCGTACCAGGGCATGAACCTGCGTCCCCTGCATCAGCAGGCAGACTCCCAATCACTGCGCCACCAGGGAAGCCCTTAAGTATCTTTTAAAGAAATAATCTGTGACCACTGTTAAGTCAACAATCTATGGGAACTCCCCGGTCCCAGATCACCTCACAAGTTACCAAATATCGATCTCTACTTTTAAAAAGCAGCACCTAATGCAAATATGAGAACATTATTTCCAGAAATATTCTTCATTTGGCAACATGGTGAGCCTTTGTACCTCTAAGAATCTACTCTCAACAAATTATCAGAAATGTGGCAAAAGATTTGTATACAAAGATCTTATTATCATTTACAATTATTGAAAATTATATTTCCACTATTGCCAGCAAAAACTGGCAACACTATATCTGATAACGAGATATTAATTAAATTGACACAGCATCTCCACAGAATAAAATATAGCAATTAATAACGCTTTTCATGACATTTTGAAAGGGGGAAGTATACTGTTAAGTGAACGGGGGAAGAAATCAGAACTAAAGGTATACACATGCACACACATATAGTGCATATACAAACACCCAGACACATGGAAATTTTTCACAAAAGATCATGGTTTAATTTTAAACTATAGAAATAGTACTATTTATTTCCTTGGGTGCAATCACTCAAAAGTAACAACACGTTTAATAACTTTTTTTTTTTTTTGCGGTACGCGGGCCTCTCACTGTTGTGGCCTCACCCGTTGCAGAGCACAGGCTCTGGACGCGCAGGCTTAGTGGCCATGGCTCACAGGCCTAGCCACTCCGCTGCAGGTGGGATCTTCCCAGACCAGGGCACGAACCCGTGTCCCCTGCATCGGCAGGCGGACTCTCAACCACTGCACCACCAGGGAGGCCCTAATAACCATTTTTTGAAAACATATAATAAACATACCTGAAGTACGTAATCTAGGGCTATATGTCGAAAACATTTTCTTGTTGCTGTCAGAATGTTTGTGGCTTCTTCAACTTCATGCTGTTTGTTTCTCTGTACTTGGGCATTTTTTACTAATGCGTTTTCTTTTTCTTCACTGACTTTTTCAAACTGCTTCTTGGCATCTTTGAATTTTCTAAGATCTCTAAAAAAAATTAAAATAGTGAAACTTTCATAAAACTATCTGGATCAAAAACTTTACCAAAATAACATTTAGAATTTAATTCTTATGTTCCTCTACTTATTTATTTATTTGCAAATGACACTCAATAGCTCTTCCAACTAACATATATATTAGTTTATGAGTACACACTATTCCTGATATAGTCAGCTAGCATTTCCTTTAAATCTATACAATTTAAAGTGAAAATAAATTATCAAATTAACATTACAGAAACATAAAAGGCAAAGTTAATTTTTCTAAACACAAATTCTGGGACATGTACCAATATTTAACCAAATAATTTTAATTTTTTTTTACATTTTATTTTTTACATTTATTTTTATTTTCTTTAACTGATGTATGGTTGATATAAAATATTATATAAGTTACAGGTGTATAATATAGTTATATACAATTTTTTTTTTTTGGTCAATCCCAAACTCCCTAACTATCCCTCCCCCACCCTTCCCTCCTGATAACCATAAATTTGTTCTCTGAGTCTGTGAGTCTGTAAAGTTGTTTTTTAAAAATATTTATTTATTTATTTTGGCTGTGCCGGGTCTTAGTTATGGCACATGGGATCTTCACTGCAGCCTGCAGACTCTTACTTGAGGCATGCGAACTCTTAGTTGTGGCATGCATGTGGGATTTAGTTCCCCAACCAGGGGCTGAACCCAGGCCCCCTGCATTGGGGACATGGAGTCTTACCCACTGGACCACCAGGTAAGTCCATCTTGCCCTTTTTTTCCCCTGTTTTTGTGTGTGTGTATGTGTGTGTGTGTGTGTTTCTTTGTGTATTTTTGTGTGTTTGGTTTTGCTTTTACCATTTGTCTTGGGGGTTTTGCTTGTTCGTTTCCTATTTTTATTTTTTTTCTCTCACGTGGTGCAGCTCGCAGGGTCTTGGTTCTCCGGCCAGGGGTCAGGCCTGAGCTTCTGAGGTGAGACAGCCAAGTCCAGGACACTGGACCACCAGAGAACTCCCAGCCCCAGGGAATATTAATAGGTGAGAGCTCTCCTAGATGTCTCCATCTCAACACCAAGACCCGGCTCCACCCAAGGGCCAGCAAGCTCCAGTGCTGGACGCCTCACACCAAACAACTAGCAAGACAGGAACACAACCCCAACCATTAGCATACAGGCTTCCTGAAGTCATACAAAGCTCACAGACAACCCAAAACACATCACCTGACACAGCCCTGCTAACCAGAGGGACAAGATACAGCTCCACCCACCAGAACACCAACATCAGTCCCCCACACCAGGAAGCCAACACAGGCCACTGGACCAACCTCACCCACTGAGGGCAGACACCAGAAGCCAAGAGCAACTACAACCCCGCAGCCTGTGGAAAGGAGACCCCAAACACAATAAGTAAAACAAAATGAGAAGACAGAGAAATATGTTGCAGATGAAGGAGCAAGGTAAACACCCACAAGACCAAACAAATGAAGAGGAAATAGGCAATCTACCTGAAAAAGAATTCATTCAAAGATGATCCAAAATATTGGAAATAGAATGGAGAAAATACAAGAAACATTTAACAAGGACCTAGAAGAACTAAAGAACAGTGATGAACAAGACAATAACTGAAATTTAAAATACTCTAGAAGGAATCAATAGCAGAATAACTGAGGCAAAAGAACGGATAAGTAAGCTGGAAGACAGAATGGTGGAAATAACTGCCGTGGAGCAGAATAAAGACAAAAGAATGAAAAGAATTAAGGACAGTCTCAGAGACCTCTGGGACAACATTAAACACACCTACATTCAAATTACAGAAGTGCCAGAGGAAGAAGAGAAAGAGAAAGGGTCTGAGAAAATATCTGAAGAGACTATAGTTGAAAACATCCCTAACATGGGAAAGGAAATAGTCAATCAAGTCCAGGAAGTGCAGAGAGTCCCATACGGTATAAACCCAAGGAAAAACACACCGAGACACATATTAATCACATTAAAAAAAATTAAATACAAAGAAAATATATTAAGCAGCAAGGAAAAAGTAAAAAATAACATACAAGGGAATCCCTGTAAGGTTATCAGATGATTTTTTCAACAGAAACTCTGCAGGCCACGTTGGAGTGGCAGGATATATTTAAGGTGGTGAAAGGGAAAAACCTACAACCAAGATTAATCTACTCAGATTCAACAGAGAAATCAAAAGCTTTACAGACAAGCAAAAGCTAAGAGACTTCAGAACCACCAAACCAACTCTACAACAAATGCTAAAGGAACTCCTCTAAGCCGGAAACACAAGAGAAGAAAAAGACCTAGAAAAACAACCCAAAACAATTAAGAAAAAGGTAATAGAACTTACATATCGATAATTACCTTACATGTGAATGGATTAAATGCTCCAACCAAAAGACACAAGCTCGCTGAATGGATACAAAAACAAGACCCATATATATGCTGTCTACAAGAGACCCACTTCAGACCTAGGGACACATACAGACTGAAAGTAAGGGGATGGAAAAAGATATTCCATGCACATGGAAATCAAAAGATTTTGATTTCCATGTGCATGGAATACTCATATCAGATGAGATAGACTTACTCATACCAGATAAGATAGACTTTAAAATATAGACTGTTACAAGAGACAAGGAAGAGCACTACATAATGATAAAGGGATCAATCCAAGAAGAAGATATAACAATTACAAATATACATGCACCCAACATAGGAGCACCTCAATACATAAGACAAATGTTAACAGCCATAAAAGAGGAAACTGGCAGTAACACAATAATAGTGGGGGACCTTAACACTTCATTTACACCAACAGACAGATTATCCAGACAGAAAATTAACACGGAAACACAAGCTTTAAACGAGATGGATTTAATTGATATTTATAGGACATTCCACCTGAAAGCAGCAGAATACACTTTCTTCTCAAGTGTACATGGAACACTATCCAGGATACATTACATCTTGGGTCACAAATCAAGCCTCAGGAAATTTAAGAAAATTGAAATCGTATCAAGCATCTTTTCCTACCACAATGCTATGAGACTAGAAATCAATTACAGGAAAAAAACTGTAAAAAAAACACAAGCACAGGGAGGCTAAACAATATGCTACTAAATAACCAAGAGATCACTGAAGAAATCAAAGAGGAAATCAAAAAATACCTAGAGACAAATGACAACAAAAGCAGGACAACCCAAAACCTATGGTATGCAGCAAAAGCAATTCTAAGAGGGAAGTTTATAGCAATAAAATCCTACCTCAAGAAACACGAAAAATCTCAAATAAACAATCTAACCTTACACCTAAAGGGACTAGAGAAAGAAGAAGAAAACAAAACAAAAAACAAAACAAAAAAAACCAACGTTAGTAGATGGAAAGAAATCATAAAGATCAGAGCAGAAATAAATGAAACAGAAACAAAGAAAACAAGAGCAAAGATCAATAAAACTGGGCTTCCCTGGTGGCGCAGTGGTTGAGAGTCCGCCTGCTGATGCAGGGGACACGGGTTTGTGCCCCGGTCTGGGAAGATCCCACGTGCCACGGAGCGGCTGCGCCCGTGAGCCATGGCCGCTGAGCCTGTGCGTCCGGAGCCTGTGCTCCGCAACAGGAGAGGCCACAACAGTGAGAGGCCCACGTACCGCAAAAAAAAAAAAAGTTTCCAACAAACAAAAAGTCCAGGACCAGACGGCTTCACAGGCGAATTCTATCAAACATTTAGAGAACAGCTAACGCCCATCCTTCTCAAACTATTCCAAAAAAATGCAGAGAGAGGAACACTCCCAAGCTCATTCTACAAGGCCACCATCACCCTGATACCGAAACCAGACAAAGATATCACAAAAACAGAGAATTACAGACCAATATCAATGATGAATATAGATGCAAAAATCCTCAACAAAATACGAGCAAACAGAATCCAACAACACATTAAAAGGAGCATACACCATGATCAAGTGCGATTTATTCCAGGGATGCAAGGATTCTTCAATATATGCAAACCAATCAATGTGATACACCATATTAACAAATTGAAGAATAAAAACCATATGATCATCTCAATAGATACAGAAAAAGCTTTTGACAAAATTCAACACCATTTATGATAAAAACTCTCCAGAAAATGGGCATAGAGGGAACCTACCTCAACATAATAAAGGCCATATCTGACAAACCCACAGGAAACATCATTCTCAATGGTGAAAAACTGAAAGCATTTCTTCTAAGATCAGGAACAAGACGAGGATGTCCACTCTCACCACTATTATTCAACATAGTTTTGGAAGTCCTAGCCACAGCAATCAGAGAAGAAAAAGAAATAAAAGGAATACAAATTGGAAAAGAAGTAAAACTGTCACTTTTCAAATGACAGGATACTATATGTAGAAGATCCTAAAGATGCCACCAGAAAACTACTAGAGCTAATCAATGAATTTGGTAAATTTGCAGGATACAAAATTAATGCACAGAAATCTCTGGCATTCCTATACACTAACAACAAAAGATCAGAAAGAGAAATTAAGGAAATAATCCCACTCACCAATGCAACAAAAAGAATAAAATACCTAGGAATAAACCTTTTAAGGAGACAAAAGACCTGTATGTGGAAAACTACAAGACACTGATGAAAGAAATCAAAGATGACACAAACAAATGGGAGAGATATAGCATGTTCTTGGATTGGAAGAATCAAAATTATGAAAATGACTATACTACCCAAAGCCATCTACAGATTCAATGTAATTCCTAACAAATTACCAATGGCACTTTTCACAGAACTAGAACAAAAAATTGCACAATTTGTATGGAGACACAAAAGACCAGGAAGAGCCAAAGCAATCTTGAGAAAGAAAAATGGAGCTGGAGGAATCAGGCTCTCTGACTTCAGACCATACTACAAAGATACAGTAATCAAGAGACTATGGTACTGGCACAAAAACAGAAATACAGACCAATGTAACAGGACAGAAACCCCAGAGATAAACCCATGCAACTATGGTTACCTAATCTATGACAAAGGAGGCAAAAATATATAGTGGAGAAAAGACAGTCTCTTCAATAAGTGGTGCTGGGAAAACCGGACAGCTACATGTAAAAGAATGAAATTAGAACACTCCCTAACACCATACACAAAAATAAACTCAAAATGGATTAAAGACCCAAATGTAAGACCAGACACTATAAAACTCTTAGAGGAAAACATAGGAAGAACACTTTTTGACATAAATCACATCAAGACCTTTTTTGACCCACCTCCTTCAGTAATAAAAATAAAAACAAACAAATGGGACCTAATAAAACTTAAAAGCTTTCGCACAGCAAAGGAAACCATAAACAAGATGAAAAGACAACCCACAGAATGAGAGAAAATATTTACAAACGAAGCAATGGACAAGGGATTAATCTCCAAAAAATACAAATAGCTCATGCATCTCAATATCAAAAAAACAAACCCAATCAAAAAATGAGCAGAAAGGGCTTCCCTGGTGGCGCAGTGGTTGAGAGTCCGCCTGCCGATGCAGGGGACGCGGGTTCGTGCCCCGGTCCGGGAAGATCCCACATGCCGCGGAGCGGCTGGGCCTGTGAGCCATGGCCGCTGGGCCTGCGCGTCCGGAGCCTGTGCTCCGCGATGGGAGAGGCCACAACAGTGAGAGGCCCGCGTACCACAAAAAAAAAAAAAAATGAGGGGAAGACCTAAATAGCCATTCCTCCAAAGAAGACATACAGATGGCCAAGAGGCACATGAAAAAATGCTCAATATCACTAATTATTAGAGAAATGCAAATCAAAACTACAATGAGGTATCACTTCACACCAGTCAGAATGGCCATCATCAAAAAATCTACAAACAATAAATGCTGGAGAGGGTGTGAAGAAAAGGGAACCGTCTTGCAACTGTTGGTGGAAATGTAAACTGATACACCCACTGTGGAGGACAGTATGAAGGTTCCTTTAAAAACTAAAAACAGAATTAGCATATGACCCAGCAATCCCACTACTGGGCATATACCCAGAGAAAACCATAATTCAAAAAGACAGATGTACCCCAGTGTTCACTGCAGCACTATTTACAATAGCCAGGTCATGGAAGCAACCTAAATGCCCTCTGACAGATGAACGGATAAAGGTGTGGTACATATATATAATGGAAAATTACTCAGCCATAAAAAGGAATGAAATTGGGTCATTTGTAGCAATGTGGATGGACCTAGAGACTGTCATACAGAGTGAAGTAAGTCAGAAAGAGAAAAACAAATATCGTGTATTAACACATATATGTGGAATGTAGAAAAATGGTACAGATGAACCTGTTTGCAAGGCAGAAATAGAGACACAGACGTAGAGAAAAAACATATGGACACCAAGGCAGGGGCAGGGATGTGTGGGGTGAATTGGGAGACTGGGATTGACATATACAAAGTAATATGTATAAAATAGGTAACTAATGAGAACATGCTGTATAGCACAGGGAACTCTACTTAATACTCTGTGGTGACCTAAATGGGAAGGAAATGCAAAAAAGAGGGGATATATGTATACATATAGCTGATTCACTTCGCTATACAGCAGAAACTTACACAACATTGTAAAGCAACTATACCCCAATTAAAAAAAAAAAAAGACCAAATGATTTTTAAACAGTAGTATATACCATAGGGAACTTGTTAAAAATGCAAGTTCCAAGGTCCTCTACCAGAGATTACAATTCTTTTGTGTTTTCGGGATAAGCCCTAGAAATCTGAGGGATTTTCTTAAGAAACGCCCTTGATTTCACTGTTATGGTGGTCTACAGACCACACTTTAAGAAACAACATTCATTTATTGTTGAAAAAATTAGGAGGCCAAAGGACATGAATATATTCTTAAAACACACACACAGAAGAATGCTTTCTAAAAGAATTATGTACCAGTACAGAATAACAGTATCCATTTCAGTAGTCTGAAAATCTGAAACCTGATTCATTAATGATCTTAGGTAAACATATAACATCCTTTTACTTTTTCTACCAAGGAATTAGGCAAGGTAACTTGAAGACAAATGACTTTAAAATAATAACAATAATAATAACGTGTACCTAGCAAAGACTTTAATAAGAAGCCATAAAATTTTCATGTATACACTCTATAAGGACATTCTGAATATTAGTCTATTTTGAAGTGATTTATAAATGATCTGCAAGACATCACTCCAGAACAACAAATTCTAACCTACTAAAACAGAAGTGCATTATGTTCATGAGATCTGCCACTATTTATAGCTTTTAACATCTGAATACTATATCATAATCAACTTTATCTGTAATTTAATATATTCTCAGTCAGGAATTAAAAGACATAAAGTGAAATTATTAATGTGGAAAAGGAAAATGTTCCTACCTGGAAGTTCAGATAATTTTTTTATTTCTAGTTTCATTTTATTTCACATATAAAATGTGATGAATGTGACACAAAGGGTTTGCTTTCATTACTTATTATGCACCTTCATCACTCATTCTCGTATATTCTATTATCTTCTCTACAAAGAAAATACCATATTGAGACAACTAGAATAACTAACAGTATTTCAACCACTTTTGGGATCTGCTTTGATTATTAAAGATTAGGTTATTTACATTAAAAAATTTTTTTTAGTCTGTAACAATTTGAACTATGTATCCTGAACACAAATTTCACAGTATAAATGATTCATTGAAAGGCATGAAGTCTGACTCCTTTATAGAGTAATTCAGGAAAAAATGCAATATAAATTTCACAAAGCAAAAAACACACAAAAACCCCCATATTTTCACTAAGTCTTGTTTCTAAGTTCTCTCAAAAGATACCAACTCCCAGATGTGATCATTAACTGGTTGCTTTTCTTTTCTTTTCACTGCAACTGACTTACTCTTTGACAAAGTTCTGAAGCTGTGCCTTAATCGATCTCTGAGTTTGGTCAAATAGGATCTAAAAGAAAAGAAGGAACATTAAACAATTAGAAATGTAAACAAAGAAAATAATTTTCATGTAGTTCCGTAAATATTACATCCTTCCAACAATATTCCAAGTCTAATAACACCTACATTTCTTACTGAACATTGCATAAGAAATAAGTATTTAAAAAAGAAACAAACTGATTTTCAAGCCAATTTCATCTGTTTAAAAAATAAAATTACTTCTATTTACAGAGGAATGAAATGTGCATTAATATTTAAATACAATGTTCAATCAGTAGAGCAATTTATTTCCTTGACTCTAATTCAGGCTTTGGAAGACAACCTAAAAGAGTAATACAAATTCTACTCTATCCACCACAGAAATTTCTTACTCTAATATATTAAAACAAAACAAATGAAAACAACTCTAGAACTGCCTTATACCTTAGTTAGAGGTTTCTCATTTGGGAAGACCTGTGGATTTAAATGTCTTAAATTCAGAATTCAAGTAAATAATATATAGCCCTTCAGGTTAAATTATTGCTAAGATTAAAAATGAGAATAAAATTTTAACTCTGTGTGGTAAATTTCACAGGGCTTGGCATGGGAATTCCAAGTACTTTCATAATTTACAGATACACTTCATTCAGAACTTGAAACACATGCCAGATGAAGAGGCAGAAAAATAAATATTAAAAACAAAAAGAAAACCTTATGTCCTTCAACTAACTAAAAGCAGTACCAAAAAAATTCAGTCTCTATGGAATCTTAGTATTAGCAAAGTCGACGTCCTTGCCTAAATGCCAAATACACACACACACACACACACACACACACACACACACACACACACACCTGGATTGAGTACAGGGTTTCAAAATCTGTCAATTCACTTCCAAAGGAAAAACAGTTTTGTATTATGTTAATCCAAAAGTATTAAACCCAAATTAAGCAGAAGAAAGGAAATAATGAAGATCAGTTTGGAAGGCAACTAAATAGAAAACAAAAAATCAATAGCCAAAACCCAATGAAACCTAAAGCTAGTTCTTTAAGAAGATCTAAAATAGATAAACCCACAACCAAAGTGATCAGGAAGAAAGAGGACACTAATTTCATACAATAAAAAGGAGAGAGATGGCTTCACCACAGATTCTACAGATATTAAAAAAGGATAATCAGGGGAACAATTTTATGCCGATAAATTGAATAGATGAGATGGGGAAATACTCTGAAGGACAAAAACTAACAAAGCTCAACTGTAGCAACGTTTTCTTAGGGCAGTTTCCCAAGGCAATAGAAATAAAAGCAAAAATAAACAAATGGGATCTAATCAAACTTAGAAGCTTTTGAACAGCAAAGGAAACCATGAACAAAATGAAAGACAACCTACAGACTGGAAGAAAAAATTTGCAAATGTTGTGACTGACGAGGGCTTAATTTCCAAAATATACAAAGAGCTCATACAACTCAATAACAAAAACACAAACAAACAAATCAAAAAATGGGCAGAAGACCTAAGTAGACATTTCTCCAAAGAAAACATACAGATGGCCAATAGGTACAGGAAAAGATGCTCAACTTCTCTAATTATTAGATAAATGCAAATCAAAACTACAATAAGGTCTCACTTCACACCAGTCAGAATGGCCATCATTAAAAAGTCTACAAATAATAAATGCTGGAGAGGGTGTAGAGAAAAGGGAACCCTCCTACATTGTTGGTAAGAACGTAAATTGGTGCAGCCACTAGGGAAAACAGTATGGAGGTTCCTTAAAAAACTAAAAATAGAGTTGCCATAAGATCCAGCAATCCCCCTCCTGGGCATACTTCCAGAGAAAACTCTAATTTGAAAAGATACATGCACCCCAATGTTCATAGCAGCACTATCTACAATAGCCAAGACATGGAAGCAACCTAAATGTCCATCAACAGATGAATGGATACATGGAATATTACTCAGCCATAAGAAGGAATGAAATAATGCCATTTGCAGCAACATGGGTGGACTTAGAGATTATCATACTAAGTGAAGTCAGCCAGAGAAAGACAAATATTATGTGATATCACTTATATGTGGAATCTAAAATATGATACAAATGAATTTATCTACGAAACAGAAACAGACACACAGACATAGAGAATAGACTTGTGGTTGCCAAGGAGGAGGGGAGGTGAGGGAGGGAAGGATTGAGGGTTCGGGATTAGCAGATGCAAACTATTACATATAGGATGGATAACAACAAGGTACTACTGTATAGCACAGGGAACTATATTGAATATTCTGTAATAAACTATAGTGGAAAAGAATGTGAAAAAGGACACACACACACACACACACACACACATAACTGAATCACTTTGTTGTATACCAGAAACTAATACAACTTTGTAAATCAACTATACTTCAATAAAAAAAATGTTTAAAAAAGGTATCAGAAACCTAAACAGAGTTCCCTGGTGGCCTAATGGTTAGGATTCTGGGCTTTTACTGCCATGGCCTGGGTTCAACCTCTGGTCGGGGAACTGAGATCCCACAAGCCACATGGCATGGCCAAAAAAAAAAAAAAGAAAGAAACCTAAACAGAATTAAAGAAATAGAATAGAATCTATAGTGAAAAACCTCCCCTATCCTATAAAGTTAAAGCTAACTTTACATAAAACCTAGCAACCCCAGTCTTAGGTATTTGCCCAAGAGAAATGAAAACTTAGGTTCATAACAAAATCTGTATACAAATGTTTTTTAGCAGTTTCATTCCTAATTGCCAAAAATTGGACACAACCCAAACGTCCTTGGAGAAACAAACTATAGCATATCTACACAATGGAATACTACTCAGCAATAAAAAAGAAAGAACTATTAATACATGCAACCACATATATGAATCTCAATGCATTTTGATAAATAAGTCATATTCAAAAGGGTACAAACTGAATGAGTCCAGTTATATGACATTTAGGAAAAGGCAGAACTATAGGATGGATATCAAATCAGCAATTTACAATCGTAGGAGGAATAAGGAAAGGGTGACTAACAATGGGTTAATAAGAGTATTTCGAGAGTTAAAGAAACTGCATCTTGATTGAGGTATGGAGACCCAACTGTATGCATTTGTCAAAACTCATAAAACTGTACACAAGGAATCAATTTTGTTACATTTAAATTTGGGGTTTCCCTGGTGGTGCAGTGGTTAAGAATCTGCCTGCCAATGCAGGGGACACAGGTTTGTGCCCTGGTCTGGGAAGATCCCACATGCCGCAGAGCAACTAAGCCCGTGAGCCACAACTACTGAGCCTGCACGTCTGAAGCCTGTGCTCCACAACAGGAGAGGCCGTGACAATGAGAGGCCTGCGCACTGCAATCAAGAGTGGCCCCCACTCGCCGCAACTGGAGAAAGCCCTCGCACGGAAATGAAGACCCAACACAGCCAAAAATAAATAGATAAATAAATAAATTTAAATTTGAAAATAACTTTAACACCCTCTAGGTCCACCCCATTTGTCACAAATGGCAAGGTTGCATTCTTTTTTATGGCTGAATAATATTCCACTGTATATAAACTATACATGTAATATATACACCACACCTTCTTCATCCATTCACCTACTGATAGGCACTTAGATTGCTTCCATATCTTGCCTATTGTGAATAATGCTGCAATGAACACAGGGGTGTATATGTATATATCTTTTCTAGTGTTTTTGTTTTCTTTGGTTAAGTACCCAAGAGTGAACTTGCTGGACCATATGGTAGTTTTTCTTTTAGTTTTTTGAGGAATTTCCATACTGTTTTCCATAGTGGCTGTACCAATTTATATTCCCATCAACAGCACACAAGGATTTACCTGTCTCCACATCCTCACCAATGCTTGTTACTTGTTAACGTTTGGATAACAGCCATTCTGACAAATGTGAGGTTATATCTCATTGTGGTTTTGATTTGCATTTCCCTGATGACTAGTGATGGTAAGCATTTTTTCATGTGCCTGTTGACCATCTGTATGTCTTCTTTGGAAAAATGTCTATTCAGGTCCTCTGCCCATTATTTTAATTGGGGTATTTGGGGGTTTTTTTGATGCTGAGTTGTATGAGTTCCTTGTATATTTGGGATATTGACCCCTTGTTGGATATAACATTTGCAAACATCTCCCACTCAGTAGGCTGCCTTTTCGTTTTGTTCATGGCTTCCTTCACTGTATAAAAGCTTTTTTAGTTTCATGTAGTCCCATTTGCTTATCTTTGCTTTTGTTTCCCTTGACTGTGGAGACATAGCCAAAAAAATATTGCTAAGACAGATGTCAAAGAGCATACTGCCTATGTTTCCTTCTAGAAGTTTTATGGTTTCAGATCTTACATTTAAGTCTTTAATCCATTTTGAGTTTATTTTTGTATATGGTGTGAGAATGTAGTCATCTGATTCTTTTGCATGTAGCTGCCCAGTTTTCCTAACACCATTTATTGAAGAGTCTGCCTTTCCCCCACTGTGTACTCTTGCCTCCTTTGTTATATATTAATTGCCCATATAAATGTGGGTTCATTTCTGGGCTCTCTATTCTGTCCCCTTGATCTATGTGTCTGTTTTTGTGCCACTACCATACTGTTTTGATTACTGCAGCTTTGTAGTATAGTTTGAGATGAAGGTGCATGATACCTCCAGCTTTGTTCTTCTTTCTTAAGATTGTTTTGGCTACTTCGGGTCTTTCGTGTTTCCATACATATTTCAGAATTATTTTTTCCAGTTCTGTGAAAAATGTAATTGGGATTTTGATAAGGATTACAATGAATCCCCACACCGTCTGAGGTAGTATGGTCATTTTAAAAATATTATTTCTTTCAATCTATGAGCACAGTATACCTTTCCATCTGTATGTGTCATCTTTAATTTCTTTGATCAGTGTCACATAGTTTTCTAAGTCTTTTATTTCCTTAGTTAGATTTATTTCCATGTATTTTATTCTTCTGGATGTGACTGTAAATGGGACTGTTTGTTACTTCATTGTTAGTGTATAGAAATGTAACAGATTTCTGCATATT